CAAAAGCATTTTAGTTTATTATTTTAAATACCAATCAAACATAATTTGTATGTTGTTGGTCATTGGACTCTACGCAGTACATCTAGTGATTTAGGCTTTCCAGGGGTTCAGCGTATCAACATTGAACCTGAACCAAGAGACAAATGTCACTCAGGTCTTGTTAACATCTGGCCATTTTTTTATCTATAGATGCCTATCTATAGATACAAATATATTTGTATCTATAGATAGGCACTACCGTGAAGGATATACCTAAGCAAGTGGGAAAAAAATAGCAGGGAAAGCTGTGCATAATTGGCTTTGAAATTGTTTTTTTTTTCTTTTACAATTAGTTTGGCTTACATAAATAGTACAACAATCTAATTCATTTCAGTTTGAAAAATCAGCTAGCTTTACAGCAACACATGCTTCTTCATCAAATGGTAATAGACCCGCTTTAACAAGCAGATTGGCCAATAGTTGTCTGTGGATGTCCGCTGATGCAAAACTGTCTTGTCATTGGCCAGTTTCTATTTAGCTCTTATTAAGTGTTAAGAGACTGCAGATGATACAGCATTGTAAAATTGGGCAGCAGCAGCACAATTGTAATGAAGGAGAATCAACTAAATTGTACTAGAGAAAAAGATTACAGGCAGGTGCTTTACTGCAAGAATCATGAGACCACATTTGACATAGCAATGTAAATTTGGCCAGCAGCAGGACAATTTTAAATAGCAAGGATAGACCCAAACTTACTAGAGATAAAGAGCACAGGCTGAGGCTTTACTACCATTTACTACAATTAGAATGTTTAAGAGGATACAGCAGTATAAAATTGGGCAGAAACTGGAACTCAATCATGGACTTTAGACCAATATGTACTAAAGAAAAAGGGATTTTTTTTTACCAAAGGCAAACAGGCTTTTCCCTTTGAAAGGGAGTTTTAATTTAGCAGAGTGAAGGTCCTACTTAAGTATAGCTCTGCTGACTTCCCTCATCCAACAATTATGTGCAAGCAAAAATACTGTTTTCCTTGCATGTGATTGAATATTTTTTGCGTAGTGAATTTTTACAACATTCTCTAAGCTAAGGGGAGTTCCTTGCAACATTCGCATCCTCTTTGCCTATAGTAAATCAACCTTGTTTTACTACAACAATTAGGAGACTGCAGATGATACACTAATGTAAAATTGACCAGCAGAAGCACAGTTTTATTGAGGGATAATAGGCCTTACTGGTGTATGCCTAACTATATTTTATCTATGTGTGACATAATGTGAGTTGGTTTAGGTGCATACTGTTCTTGTACTTTTTTCTGTCAAACAGTGCAGTGGCATGCTGCGAAAAAAGGCAGTTCCAAAAACAGATGGTCAGTAACAAGTAAATGCTTCACTTTGAACACCCAAAAAGGCCCTATCAGCATAAAAAAATAAAACCAAAAAAAGCATTAAAAGCAATAAAAGCAGCAAAATAGCAATTTAACATAGACTAAAGGCCCTATCAAAATAACATTTAAAAAATATACCCCAAAACAAATAATATCACACAAATACCACCTCTAAATCTAAAACATATTTATTTTTTTAAAGGGAAGCATTGCAGCAAAAAAATTATAAAAAAAATAAGAACAAAACAAGGCAGCAAAGGGATTGATTGCCCATAGAACTAACAGTCAGAGTAGTTTGTCAGTTTTTCCTATCCTTACCCTAATTAATTGATACAATGGCTGCTATGTGCCCTTCTTTTTATAGTGAGGAGATTTGTTTTAGGTCAAAAGCGGTTTTAGACCAGGTAGAAAACAGCGATAGTAAATTAGAATCACTTGCAGAATTGAGCGATAACGATTCGTTTTTCCCAACGAATCGCTTTCGCTCAATTCTGCAAGTTATTCTAATATACTATCGTTGTTGTCTACCGTGTCTAAAACCGCTTTTGACCTAAAGGGACGCTTTTTGGATGCCATGGACGTTCACAAGTTTCCAGGCAGAAAGAACAGTAAAAGTGCAGGCTGGGCACTGTACAAAGCTCTAGGGACAAACTTGAAGTGAAATAGTTTGATACATAAGTGTAATCAAAGCAGATTACATTGTATTCTGTGTAAATGTCATGTTTTCACTTTTGAATTTTCCGCCGGCTCCGCCCCCCGCTGTGACGCCCGAAAACGAAACTAAAACTCAGATGCCGGCATTGGCCGGCTGCGTCCAGCAGAGGACACCGCGGGCTCGCAGGGACAAGGTAAGTGACACTTTTCTGTGCAATCCCGAGTCTGGCTCAGAGTTACCGCTCTTGGTACTGAAAATTAACCCCGAGCCAGACTCGGGAATACCGCCAGGGAGGTTAGTCAAAATCTGCACACAAATTCAGCGGGACTGCAAATCCTTAACTTAAAACCTGTGATAGTGGAAAATGCACAAGGAAGGAGCCCTTTTCTCTAATTAACTAGGCATTAGCAGTATTTTTACATGTGACAGAGCTCTGGTCATTCACCAAATATATAACAGAAAATTGCATACTTACCTTGCGTAATTTTCCTTTCCTAGAGCATCGATTGGCAGCACACCATGGAATTTGGCGATCACAATTGGGAGGGTAATGCCAAGAGAAAATGTATTTGTTTTATAAAGGTTGATAAATTTATTTCTGGAGGACCAGGACGGGGCCCTGCAGATCGTTTCAGCAGAGACTTTTGAGTAGGCTGCCCAGAATGCTGCTAGACCCCTTGTACAGTGAGCCCTTATCTCCTCAGGTGGTTGTAGGCATTTTTTAAAAAAATTTTTTTATTATTTCGCCTTAAGCATCTGTTACAGTACAGTGTAGTACAGAGCATATCAAATACAAAAGTGTGTATAATGCATTTGCCATATGGAACTCGTCCATGTGCAAGAACATAATATTCATATCTTATAGTTACACAAGTAGTGAGATATCAGTAGCTCTGACTGGGCTTGCTTGGGTTGAGGTACACACACAGTCAATAATAGAGATAAAAAAAAACCTCAAACATGAGAGTAAGAGAAAAGGAACAAAAGAACATAAAATAAAAAATAAACTATAAAAAGCAAAAACATAACCAATACCATACATGTTACGATACATCACATAATTGCGCAACCCCTTTCTCACTGGAGCAGTTTACGGGACGGGGCAATAGCACGTCAAGCTGTGGGTGGTACGAGAATGCCACTTCCATCCCATTGGTTAGTTAATGTGCATGTCCCTCCCTCCACACCAGTATTGACCTAAGAGATAGGTAGCCGGGTCTCTCATCCTCCCTCCCCCACCCGCATACCTCCAGGTGTACCCCCTTTGAGAAGAGAGCGTTCAGTTATTTTGGGATATTCAGGTTCTGTAGCAGGTAATGTTTGCTATACTGAAAGGGAGATAAGATATTTTTTTGAGCAGAAGGTGAGAGGACATGTGTAATAAATGGTTGCCATCTAGAGAGAAAGATTTTAGTTATATTCTCTTTTTCCAACTGTGCTTCTGCATTCAATTTCTCCAATAGGAGTAGGTGTTTGAGATCTTCCCTCAGTCTGTTAACAGTGGGAGGGTGCGCTGAAAGCCACTCTCTCATAATGCATCTCTTGGCTGCTAGGAGGGCCAAGCCAATCCATTGTTTGCTGTATTTATCAAGTTTGGTAGATGAAGCTATGGGGGGTTCCCAGTAATTAAACAATAATAACATGGCATCCAATGGTATACTCTGCCCGATTACAGAAGATACAAATTGTAAGACTTGTTTCCAAAACCCCTGGATGTAAGAGCACGACCATAGGCAATGGAAGAGAGGTGCGGTTACCAATTTACACTTGGGACAATGGTGCAGAAAGGCATTATCCCGACTCTTAGTATATTTTATTTGGAAAGCAAAGTATGCCCTGTGAATGATTTTGTACTGGGTTTCCCGCCATTGTTCATTACATACGGTTTTGCATAGGGATCGGTATCCGGTGAGCATTTTCTCGACTACATCGTCAGATGGGACATCCGCCCTCCACTTAGTCAGGTTAGAAGATTCCAAGGAGGAAACGACGGCATGTCTCAGATGAGGATATATGTCGGCGATGGACACTTTAGTGTTTGGAAGGACTCTATCTATGGAAGGAGCTGGTAGTCTTTTATCAGAGAGGGGGGCTTAATTTTCTAACATAGGCAGTGACCTGCATGTAATGTAGGAAGTCGGAGTTGTTAATCCCAAATTTGCTGCTGAATTCTGAGAATGATAACAATTTTCGGCCATCATCAGTGAAAAAGTGCGAGATTAGGGAAATCCCTTTTTGCTCCCACCGTAAGAAGGCGGAGTGTTCCCCTCCCTGAGGGAACGACGGGTTGCCCCTAAGGGGGAGGTGGCGCGTGAAGTAGGGACTTAATTTTAAATATTTGTGAGCTTCCCTCCATGCCACCACAGTGTCTCTTATCAGAATATGAGAGCGTAGTGTAGGAGGCATGGCAGAGAAGGGACAATGTAAGAGGGCAGGGAGAGTCCAAGGGGACACCATTGATGCTTCTAACAAAAAGTTGGAATAGTAAGAGGAGGAATGCAGCCAATCAAGAGAGTGTCGAAGTAGACAGCTCACGTTGTAAAGTCTAAGGTTGGGAAATGCCATACCTCCCCTATCTTTGGGTAAAAATAGTTTTTTTAGGGATATCCTGGACTTTTTCCCCTGCCAAATGAACATAGTGAAGTCTTTGTTAAGTGCTTGTATGTCTTTGTGCTTCAGGAGTATCGGT